CTCACTCACACATGCACACACACTCTCACACATGCACACTCACACATGCACGCATACACTCACTCACACACACACGCATACACATTCACACACTCACTCGCACACTCACACACTTGCACTCACTCACTCACACACTCACTCACACTCACACACACACGCATACACATACACTCACTCACTCGCACACTCACACACTTGCACTCACTCACTCACACACTCACTCACTCGCACACTCACGCACACTCACTCACGCACGCACACGCACTCTCACACGCACACTCACTCACACATGCACACTCACTCACACATGCACACTCACTCACACACACACTCACTCCTCACACATGCACACTCACTCACATGCACACACACACTCTCACACATGCATGCACACACACTCACTCACTCACACACACATGCACACACACACACTCTCACACTCACTCACACACACACACACACACATGCACTCACTCACTCACTCATGCACACGCTCACTCACTCACACACACACACACACATGCACACACACATGCACACTCACTCACTGACATGCACACTCACTCACTCACATGCACACTCACACACACACACACACACACTCACTCACACACACACACACTCACTCACTCACTCACTCATGGATCACTGTACTTCCTGGTGTTTCTGATGTCGACGTGTGAGTTCAGATGGTCAGTGACACAATGAGAGAAGAAGTCGTCATGTATTTTATTTCATAATGAAGTTGTGTGATCACAGATCAGTCAGACTCATTTAATGGAAACACTTGGAAACAAACACCAGTCATGTGACTTCTTCATGTGTGATGTCATGTTACTGACATCACTGTTCTCATGTAGTGACTCTCTGTGTGCATTCAGGTGATGGAGCAGAAGCCCCTCCCCCTGACAGGTGGAGAGGAGGCGGAGTATCTGTTGGCTCTCAAACAGGAGTTCAGAGGAGCCATGAAGACTCTGCCCTTCTTCATCCAGCCAGCTGCTGCACGGAGAGGTCACACACACACACACACAGAAAGTCCTGGATCAACTGATCAATCAACACTTTTATTGTGAAGGTCTTCATCATGTGTTTCCTGTCCAGATGTGGAGAGATACTCTGACAAATATCACAGCAACGAGCAGACGGACAGACTGATGGACTGGAATCCAGGTCAGACAATAATCTCTATATACAATAATCTATATAAACAATAATCTCTATATTCAATAATCTATATATATATATATATATATATCTATATAATCTCTATATACAATAATCTCTATATACAATAATCTCTATGTACAATAATCTCTATATATACATGTACAATAATCTCTATATACAATAATCTCTATATATTAGTGCTGGGCAAGTTAACACGTTATTATCGCGTTAACGCATTAATTAATTAACGCCGACAACTATGTTATCGCGCATTCACGCATTTTTATTCATTATTATTTGTAAAGTGCGTTGCTCACTGGCAGCGGTGGAGGAAGTCTTCAGACTACGTTGATGCAGCGTGTGGGAGAAGTTTAGATAAACTAAAGCAAGACAAGCTAACAGATGCTGCAGAGAAGTGGAGACAAACTGCAGGTTAGTGTTGTGGAAGATGTCGGTCTGAGGAACGTTCTCAAGGTGCGTTCACGTCGCGTTTGGTGTGAACACAGCTTTAGGATCTCAACGAATGACGTCACGTATGAGCCTCAAGACGCACCGTCACAAGAAGAACACACGAGTTGTATTAAAGGAGAGGACGACTAAAGCAACGGCGTTACAACGTGCAGCAGCTGTTGCTCTCACTGGAGACTACTGGACATCACTGGGTCACCATCATCACCTCTGAGTTACAGCATCATAGTGATGAAGAGTAGAGCTGGGTCACCTTC